TGGGAATGATCCATTCACTAGAAAGGAGAAAATTGCTGTTGTAACTTGCTGCTTTCCAAAGCTTAGTTTCAGGCCTTTGCTGTCCTTAGAACTCTTCTTGCACGTTCTCACTCTGGGCTCCAGACACCTCTGGATCTTCTGCTGTCACTTATGTCCCCTGAAAACAAGTTGACTTCTTCCCATCCCACTTATGCGGCCGTTCCTTGAGACAAGGACTGTTGATTATACCTAGGCCTAATCAGGCATTTGTCGTATGCAGGCAAATGAGTGAATGTGGGGTGGATGTAGTCGGATGCTAATTTCATTCCTAGAAAATAAATCTGCAAGTATTCACTGGATTTTATATGTTCTGGGCAGGTCAGGGATTGAAGTGAAGAATGGGGCACAGTCCTTGCCCTGTCACTGCCTAATTGGAAGATGATGCAAGACATGCAGTATTGGTGCAGCAAGAGTCTAGAACAGGACATGGTCAGTGTGTGCAGAAGGGAGGGTGGAACTTACACAGAGGCTGGAAGTAGGGTAGGGGGAAGGCCATGTCAAAGGACAGAAACTTTTTTCAGTAGTAGAGACCTTTTTTCAGATGAAATATAAGGAAACCTAGTAGTATTCACCAGTGCTACTCTTACAGAGAGACTGGGAGCCTGGTTAGCCCCCTTCTCTGGTATCCCTACCCCTACTTGACAGTCTCTTTACCAGGTTGAAAAGCCCTGACACAGAACCTGGGTTCTCCAATCGCACCCTGTGGTCCTGAGTGTATCACTGTTAACATGTAGAAATGATCATCATCTAATGTGCAGCAAAAATTAGACCAGTGAAGTTTTCTCCATTTTGTATTTTTCATAAACTTTATCTAAACTTCCAGCATTACCAATTTTTTTTTTGCTGGAAAATGTAGCAGATCACAAAGAGAGGGAGTAGCCAGTGAACACAGAGGTAATGCTTGTCTTGAAACTTTGTTACATTTGTTGCAGACTTCCAACTGTTCATCTCAGTTCAGAAGCAAAACTGGAACAGATCCAAATTTGTAAAACATGAGTGAACCAGACCATAACCAGAATGGGAAAAATTATGGGATGGGTCAGTGCCCTCCTAGAAACTAAATCCCCTCTTAGAAAATAAGGGCAAATCTGGTAGTGAAGTGCCTAAGGCACTTGACTGCTAACCAGAAGTCTGGCGATTCAAACCCACCAGCTACTCCTCGGGAGGAAGGTTGGGCAATCTACTTCCGTAGTGTTACCGCCTTGGAAATCCAAGGAGGGGTCGTAATGAGTCAGGTCCGACTGGACGGCACATAACAACAACAATATGTTGCATAACAAATCTCTTGATCAGCGGAGTCTGAAACAGTGGTGCCGTGCTCAAAGATGGCGGCCCACTGCATCACTCTGAATATGTTGATCTCCATAGTCCTGGCATTAATCCAGTCTCCCCCATCAGGCTCCTGAAAAGGACCATGCCTCTTCCAAGTCTCCCATTCCAGGGCTTCAACCCATAATTGTTCCTGTTGTAGTTATCATTCTGCTTCACCCAAATTTTAGTTACGTTTTTCTTACAGTGAGAGGATACAAAGTAAAAAAGGGAGAGACTGAGACCTTGGCTGTCCAACATTAAGGTGTCAGGGAAAAGAGGAAGAAAGAGCCAAGGACTCTGTTCCAGTTTTGGTTTGTCGGCCATCGCTGAGCCAGTTTGAAGCCCTGGTTTGTTGTATTTACACAAGTTTGATTTTAAATAGCTGTTTTCTGTTAAATAGCTATTAAGTTAATAATAGTGTAGGTAGACATACCTCTTATTTGTGGTATATGCAGAGAGCAACATAATATCCAGGCATTACTCAGAGGAGACAGTATATAGTATGAAGTGTATGGGATGAAAGACCTTGGCTGGGGAATGTGGGAGCACAGAAATGACAGGAAGACCACGTCCCACACCCAGCCACGGGCCCCTCCCTCTTCCCAAATGTCTCCTCTTAGGGTTTCTTCTAAGTTGGGGTGACAGTTGCTCCCACTTCTCTACCCCTGAAATTATTCATTCTCTTTGATACTATAGTAGGTAGAGGTTAGCTTTTATTTTAATAAAAAGGAAAAAGCATCATGGTATGACAGAAAGAGCAGTGGACTTGGATTCAGAAGACCTGAAATGCAGTTGAGCATAGTGGTAGAGAGCCTAGACTTTAGAACAGAGGGCCTGGATTCAAATCCTGGCTAGACTTCTTAGTGTTTGTGTGACCCTGTGTCTGAGATGGGGTTCTTGGGAGGATAAATTGAGTGGTAAATATGTAGAGCAATGCCTGATGTGAGAGCTCTGGTGGCGTAGTACCTAAGGCATTTGACTGCTAACCAGAAGGCTGGTGGTTCAAACCCACCAGCCACTCCTCAGATGGAAGTCTACTTCCATAATGATACTGGCTCAGACACCCAAGGAGGGGTCACTAAAATACTTGGAATTGGGATCTTGGCTGTGTTGTTAACTAGCCGCATGACTTAGCAAATTGTTAAATTATGCAGTCTCAATTGTGCTCATCTGTAAAATTAGTGGTCTGCACTAAGTCATCCTTAAGAGGCTGCCTTTTTCAGCTCCGCAATCACAGTTCTGGGAATTTTGTTAACTGGGGTGGAACATGCAGCCAGGGCCCTAGTCAGTCTGTGACTTGGTCTTTGGCATTACAGATGGTAAGCAAAAAATAATTTGCTGAAGTGCCCTAGACCAGTGTTTTCAAACTTTTTTTTCTTATACACAGTAAATACATTTTACTTGTTCAGTATATATATACACATCAGAAAATAGATATGTATATGTGTGTGTGATTATAACAAGGCTCATGAAGCAGTATTTACTCTTACTATATGTGATGCACTCTAATATTGTCTATATTCCTCAATTCTAGTTCTTAAAAAGTAAAAATGTTAATGGTTCACGACCCACAGTTTTAAAAACATTGACCTAAAGAGTGGTGAATTGTTATTATTGCCAGAGTCTCAATCTTTCGTATTACTTGACCAGGCCCAACAGTCGGTCATGATCTGACGCAGGGGCTCTCTTAGCCCCGGACTTTGACACAACTTGAATAAGTTCTCATGACTCTAGAATTTAGGATATACTTCCGAAGGATGAATACAGAGGGCATTGACCACTATGTGTAACTTTTCTCTGTGTTTTGGATGGGTGGGAACACATGAGAGGAAGCTCAGTTTATGAGAAATATTTTTCTTAAAAGTTTTACACTGAAGAGTATATGCCAGAATGCTAACAGTGGTTATCATGGAGTAGATTATGGGGACTTTAAGCTTTCTTACATTTTTTTTCAGATTTTCTAAAATAAACAGATGTTACATATATCAGACAATTTTGTAAAAGAAAAAAAAATGACTGCATAGAAAGGGTATATACAGCCCTTTCTGGTTATGGTTTGTTTGTTTGTTTGTATCTATAAATGTATTGTCAATGCCCCTCATGTCAGATATACCATTGGTTCTCAACACTGGGTCATAAGCCTGTTGGCACAATCTGTAATAAAATTTTCTTATAACTGTAAATTTATTGGATTTAAAGGAGTTCAATTTTGAAATTATATCCTTCTTGCTTTTTTTTTTTTGATATTTAAATTTTTTTTTTTTTTTTTTTAAGGATAACCTTTTTTGCTTGTTTATTTGTTTTGGATTGTAGTGATCCATGAAATACCAGAGTCTGGAAACTCCTGAAATTTGCCATTTTCTTCCTTTATTCCTGCTTGTATAAAAGTTAAAGTTTTTTCTATATATGGGTATTATTCATTCTCTTTTAAATTAGACAGAATGTGTATAAAAATAATTTCTTGTAGTATTTCTCTTGAAGGTGTTTCAAGTAGTTTCTAGCTAGTAATTTAGAAGACTCTCTGGCTTCTGTAGCTTTTAAATTTATTTCAAATTATAGTTGTGTTGAAAAAGAGCTCTTACAGTGAGCATATTATATGTCTCACCTAAGACTCAGAAATAAATGGAAATGAATTGGGGCCCCATGAGTGGTGGGTAATAGAGTTCATGCTTGTGTTGTCTGCTTCATTTATGCCAGCAAAAATAAGGCTTAAAATGTTAATACATATGTTTGCTATGTGCTTATGAGTAAACCTTACAGATAATTGCTGTTCTCAGCTTTGTTACTAACAGAAAGTAGGGAGGCATGATCATGGGAATAATTATCAAAGAAAAAGTCCCAAAATATAATCTTGGCACAAAGAAAGTCATTTGCAGACTCAAAGTATGAGGGTATTGACCATATGGAAACCTTCTTGCATTACACATCATGGTTTCAAAAGTTATCTTGGTGAACTTGGGGGAAGATGGCCACCATCATAACACTATGGTCTCTGGTGTGTTTGAAGTAGGAACTGGTTGTTCTCTGACATGTTTGCACCTTGGTGCCTCAGGAAACAATTACCCAGTTAGTGGGTCTCCAGGCCCCTTCCTCCTCAGCTAGTTGATGCCTGTTTGACAATGGGAAGGAGATCTGTCTTCCTACATACGTATCTGTCCAGTTTGCTTATTCCTAGCTCTGATTTGTGAGATTGGAGGTTGAAATAAAGTTTAGAAATTCACTTTGGGTTTTATGAAGTCACAATCTGGTATCTCTCTTCACAGAGTCAGAATTATGAGGATGAATGTCAGTAAACAGCCTTTGTCACCACAGGATTGTCTTATGTTTTTTAAAAAAGACAAATCATTGAGAACTATTGTTAACAATAGCCTTCATTAGCGAACAGTACCCAGAGCTAATTTGGAGGAGGGAGAAGAGAGAACCAGTTCTTTTGCACATATTATTATCTCCTTTGACCCCTTATTAGGTTAACTACAGCTAGAAGATTTCCTGTGGGATGGGACATGGCCATCAATATGTGTGGACTATGGCTTTTTGTAGGAGAACATCAGTACAGTACTAGCTGTAAAGTGTTCATGGTGTGTATGGTTTATGTTGTTAGAATCCCACAACTCTGCACTTGTGAAATAAGACTGACTTATTGTCTGTTTCAGGTTGTATGAGCCATGGCTGTGACTAGTGTCAGATTGCCTGCTGGTGTTTTAAGAAAGCCAGATGCCTGGATTGGACTCTGGGGAGCACTCCGGGGGACTCCTCCTTCATACAAACTCTGTGCTTCCTGGAATCGATACTTATATTTTTCTAGTACCAAGTTAAACGCATCAAATTCTAAAACACTTTTCCATAGTATTTTCTCACTGAGGCTCCCAGGGCTTTTAATATCTCCAGAATACGTTTTTCCATTTTCCATAAGACTCAAAAGTAATATAACTTCTAAAAAATCCACTAAGAAGACTCTGCAAACAGTGGAAGATGAAGATGACTCTGATGAAGAGCGAGGTTCTGGTGAGATAAGTGAGCAGGAAGAGGAGCTCGAGGGGGACCCCAGTGTGGTCAAAGACTACAAAGACCTGGAAAAAGTAGTGCAGTCCTTGCGGTATGATGCTGTCCTGAAGACAGGTCTGGATGTTGGAAGAAAGTGAGTAGGATGTGTGTTTTATTATAAACTCCTTTGTTTTTCTGTTGGGTGTTTTTGTTTTTTCTTTTGTTGTTAAGAATATACACAACAGAACATTCACCAACTCAACAGTTTCTGCATGTACAATTCAGTGACACAGATTATGTTATTTGGGTTGTAAAAGCATTCTCAACTTCCTTTTCAGAGTTGTTCCTCCGCTATTAACATAAATTCACTGCCTCTTAAAGTTTTATCTAATCTTGAGTTGCTGTTGTCAGTTTGATCCCATATAGATAGTTCTTTAAAAAGCATAATGCTCAAGGAAGACATTTTTTACTAGTTAAGCTAAACTAAGACGATTTGAGGGGATATTTTTGGTTTAAGGCTTACTGTTGGTTATTTTCATGCAGTTTTACAAATAATCGCTCAGCCCATATTATGGTAAAGAGTAACAATAGACGTAAAAGGACGTTATAGGTAACCCATTTCAATTATTTCATTTTATAGATGAGAAAACTGACTCCCAAAGAAGTCAAGTGACTCCCTACAAATCCTATGTGCCATACTTCCTTGATTCTAAGACCCAGTTGACTGTAAGATGAACTATTGATTTCATATCAGCTTCTTGAGGAGAAAAGGAATCACTGCATTAATGTATATAGCAAGCATAAGACGCACCCGGATTTCACAAATGCTGCAGTGTCAGAAGGTACCTCTTAGAATCAAGGGAAGCAGGATAAGGTGATGGTTAAGAATACAGGCTTTGCAGGCAGACAGCTAGCAATTGAATCCTGCCTCTGTGTGTGACTTTGGGCAAGTTACTTAACCTCTCTGTGCCTCAGTTTCCTCATCTGTAAAATGGGGATAATAGAACCTACTTTAGAGTATGGTTGTAAGGATTAGATGAGTATCTATTTTAGCTATCTGAAGCATGTATAACAGTACTTAGCACATAGTAGGTACTCAATATATGTTAGCTTTTATGAAGAAAATAGTATGTGTGTTCATATATTATGCTTAGAAATACTATGAGTAACAAGATTTAATATTGTTTCATTGTTTTTGTGCCAGACTAATAATATAATAGTCACTCTCCCTGTCCATTCATTTTTGTAGCAATCATTGATTGTGTGCACACTGCATGCAAGGTGAGAATTGTGGTATGAGTAATAAATTCAAAAAGATCTCCTTGTGTAATCTGTACCTTTGTGACCTTAATTTAAGACATAGTTTAATTTTTAATCTATGAAGCTTGGGAGACTCATAAAGATGACTTTAGCCTATAGCCCCTCCTCTTGGCACCCTGGTCAGGATTTGTTGTGTGGCAAACTCGTAAGGTGGCCTCTCCCCTTTCCCAGAGAAGTAGCTGCTGATTTATTAAACCAAAACCAAACCCACTGCCGTTGAGTCAGTTCTGCCTCATAGCGACCCTATAGGACAGAGTAGAATTGCCCAGAGGGTTTCCAAGGCTATAAATCTTTATGGAAGCAGACTGCCTCATCTTTCTCTTGCAGAGCAGCTGGTGGGTTCAAACCGTTGACCTTTTGGTTAGCAGCCAAATCCTTTAACCGCCACACCACCAGAGCTCCTTGCTGCTTTATTAAGTAGAGTCCCAATTGTCAGTCACCCAAAGACAGGAAAGGGCACTGATTTTGGTCTGCATCCTCCCCTGGTCTTGTTGCCCCAGTGGTTAAAATTCAGGGAGATCAGCTGCTGATTGGGATTACCCCAACTTCAGTACAGACTACCAGATTGTGTCTTGATGGGCTTACCATTCATGTAGTGCCTGGTTTGTCTCTCAGAGTACAGAGGGGGTATCCGAGGGGAAGGAAGGGCCCTCTCACTTAGCCATGAATCACCGGCACTACAGCCTTGTCAGGTGTTCTGCATAGGGTGTGAGGTGGAGTGGGGTCCCCGGCCTAGGGTGGAGCTTGATATTCATGCTAATCTCTCTCTGTGCAAGCCCCATCTCGGCACTAATTGACTACCCGATAGTAACAGCACATCTTTGCAGCAGTTCAGCATCTATTCAGAAGTGCCCTGTGGTCTCCTTTTTTCACATATGTGTGGGAACAGTAGACTTTCATGTTCCCAGCACCCCGAAGGCAGAGTTTGTGGGGAATGTCAGTCACTGTCAGAATAAACACGTGTTAGAATAAACTTTACTTTTTTTTTTTTTTTTTTTTTAATAGCAAAGTGGAAGATGCATTCTACAAAGGCGAGCTCAGGCTGAATGGGGAAAAATTATGGAAGAAAAGCAGAACGGTGAGATACTAAACGTACAGAGTGGCAGCCAGATATTTGTCTGATGCTCTGCCGATCCTCAGTGCTGCCCGCCCTTTCCCTCAGCTGCTTACTTAGAGCGTGAGCGTGGCTCCTTGGGTGTGTGTCTGCCTTACCTCTCTCAGGGCCACATGGTCCTGGTAAGCTAGTATGAATTGCCAACAGGCTTCAGTCACAGACCATTTTCTCTTGTGTAGCATTAGTGCCTTTGTGATTAAGCTTCCCTTTTTTCTTTAAAATTTTAGATCAAGCCACTATCAGAACTGGCTAAATTCTCATTAAGTAAACTCTCAAGTCCTTAATGTTAACCCCTATGGAATCATAATTTAAAAAAATAAAAAGACTCACTGCCATCGAGTGGATTCCGACTCATAGCGAACCCCTTTGGGTTTCTGAGGTGGTAAATCTTTACAGAAGTAGATTGCTCACTCTTCCTTCTGTGAAATGGCTGGTGGGTTTGAACTGCCAACCTTCTGGTTAGCAGTCAAATGCCTTAGGCACTAGGCCACTAGCACTCCTTATAGAATCATAATAATTAGGTTAAAGTGAAACATTTGATCCTTGTAGAGGAGGGTTGGGCAATCTACTTCCATAGTAATACCACCTAGGAAACCCAAGGAGGGGTCGCCATGAGTCGGGCCGACTCAACAGCACATAACAACAACAACAACAGAGGTTTTCTTTGGCCCAGTGTTGTCTGAGCAGATATGCGATTCTGTGCAGCGCAGTGGCCCGCTGAGCACTTTCTGGAGCACTGCTGTGTGCACAGGGCCAGGGTAGCACAGGGAGAACGTAAAGAGGCTGTTTGTTACAAATGATGAGCCACATTTTCTGACAGGTCCATGTCAACATCACTGCTAAGTGGGGGAAGAGAGTTATAAGAAGATGTACAGTATCCAGTTTTGATCAGTAATCATTCTTTATATATAAACTATATTTTAACATTCTGTTCAAATATTTTTGTGAAAATAAATTATTTATAACAATAACAACAAACATGTCGAATTAAAATATTAATATTACTGGTATTCATCTCTGACATTATGGGTTATATTAATTTTCTTCATGCTTTTGTGTGAATTTCATACAATAAATATGTATTTGAGTTTTACAGTAAATACGTATATGTATGTATAACTGGGAAAAGACCATAATGATAGAGTTAACAAAACACAATAGCAGTGTTTAAAAGTTTGGAAGACACAACTTAAGGGCTGTCAGTGTCCAGGGAACAGATATTCCAGGGAAGTTGTCACTCACTTTGGAGGTTGTTTTATTTAAGCTGCTTTTCATATTTCAAAATAGTCTTGGGGTTGGAAGATCAGAGCTGCACTTTGTTACCTGGGACCTGGGGTAGTGTGAGGCTGTGGGCCATGGATATCTGATGAGCACTTGCTCTAGGATCATACAGGTTCTTGAAGCTCAGTGGACAGGGTGAGGGAAAACTCTCCAATGCCTGTCTCACATCTCCAAGTCACAAGGACCTGTGATCCCATTTCCCCTGACAGCACCTGACTGAGCAGATTCAGCCCAGGCCGAGGCATGTCAGTCATTGCTCAGTGAGCTGCACAAATTCAGGCACTCCCACGTGCATCAGAAGATTAGTCCTTGTCTGCTAATTGCCTTTCCCCTGATTTTAGTCCAGCCCCCTTCTCCTCAGCCACAGTATTCCAAAGGCAAGACTTTGTTCTTGCTGCCTCTGTGCCAGGACCTCATTTACAAAGCCCACAAGCCTATTTCTCCGGTTTGAGATATTGTTAACTACAGCCTAATGGCTGCTGCTGCATTCTGCCTTGCTAATGGCTGCTGCTGCATTCTGCCTTGCGTCTTCTGTTGTCTGCTGCCTTCCAGATTTCTCCTGAGGGTCAGCAAAGGAAGGGGCCAGTATTAACACTCTGCTGCCTTGTTACTAGGAGGCTTGGTAGCCATAGTAACTGCAGTAAGGGGAGATTTGAAATGTAGATATTTGGAACAGCCCCTAATCCTAGCCAGTTTTGCTTCGTGTCTGCTGTGCCTGCACGAGAAACAACAGAACAACAGAGCCTCGAGGTGGATAAAGAACCCCTCCCCTTCCTTGGCCTGCCTGGTGGGGCCAGTACCTGGCTGCTGGCCCTCAAGGGTCAGGCAGGCACCTGGTGATGCTGCTGCTCTGTCCCTGGCTCCCTGCAGCCAAGCGGAGCTTCCCAGTGAGCTGCAAACCAGAGTCTCCTGCAGTGCTGGGTAGCTGCTGAATTAAGCAGTGGGTGTGTGGAGCTTCCTTAATTCACCCTTCCCTGGGGTTAACTGGGTAAAACAGAAACACTCCCTCTAGGCTGCTCCAGAGGAGCTCTGGTAGCATAGTGGCTAAGTCACTTGCCTGCTAACCAGATGGCTGGCGGTTCAAACCCACCAGCCACTCCTCGGAAGGAAGGTTGGGCAATCCTACTTCCGTAGTGATACTGCCTCGAAAACCCAAGGAGGGGTCGCTATGAGTCGGGGCTGACTCGATGGCACATAACAACAACAACAACAACAGGCTGCTCCAGGAGAGAGCCCTCAAAGGGCCTCACTCTGTAACTACATCCTAGTCTGCTCTCTTTAAGGGGCAGGCGACATGTGCAGTTCTCTGAAAGGATACACCAGCACGGTTGCCTGTTCTTTGCATATACTTTTACACCTCTGAAATTTTGTACCACGTGCATATATTTTTTTATAAAAAATGAATTGTAACGAAATAAAGTTATGAAGTTATGCCAAGAAAGGCAGAACAGAGTTACCAAGCATTGTATTTCTGGATGGTGATTTTAAACACCCAGATGGTTGGGCTGAAATGGTTAGTCTTTAAAAATTGAACCCAGAACTACAGAAAAACAAGATCCCTCCCATCCCCATGCCTCGGGACAAGTCTTCCCTCAAACACAGGGGAAAGCAGTTTTGATGCCTAGCTGTGGTGTGGGTCATTCTGCCTCTCAGCCCAGAGAGTAGGAAGTTAATGGTTTAAAATCTGTCTGCATGAGTTTTACATTCAGCTTCTCTGGGTTGCCCATGATTGACAGTGTGGGGTGTCATGGCAGGGCAGGTGTGTATGGCCATGTAGACTGAACATTTGGCCTCCAGAGGCCTTGAATGTGTGGGAGAACAGATAAGGGCTTGCTCTGGTGAGGTGTACCAAACATTCTGACAGTGTCAAATAATGACTGCTTCAACCAAACATTCATTAGAAAATGAGGTAAAAGTCAGCATTTAGCAGCAAGCTCCTTAAGCAGAAGCCTCACAGTAGGCTTTTTAATGGCCACATGTACCCAGTTGGAGTCAGTGGCCCACACATGGGGTTGCCTTCCCATTGGAAGCAGTGGTGAAGGGTTTAGGATGGCCCCACATCATCTCTGGCTGATGTTTTAGTAGAGGAAGAAGCATGATATGGCACCAGGGTTGGGTTAGCCTCTTGGGTCACTGGGCCAATCCCCTAGGATCCTGAGCTGCTAGGACCAGGTATCTGTCATGGGCTGCCCACACTCTGGCAACATTGTGCTGAGTCCTTTAGCCTGGGAGCTGACATGGCTGCCCCAGAGGAGGCCCTGCACTTCCAGAGTTTGGACCAGAATGGGTTTGATATCAGCCCTTTCAACGTGTGAGTCACCATCTATTATATGACATTCCTTTCTATTATGTGGCATTCCACCTGTGTGAGTTGACTTCTGCTTCTCAGTTATGTGACATCACTGGGGCCAGTCAAGTGGAGAAGCAGTTCCACTTCCATTTCTCTACAAGGTACAGCTGTCCACTGGTCCACAGTGACTAATTTTCAACCAGCTGTTCCTGAGTTATGTAGCTCACCTAGGTTGAAATCAGTGAAAAATGTTACACTGGCAATTGGCTTCCAATTGTATATAGTTAATTACCCATTGCCATCAAGTGAATTCCTCTGCAGTGACAACTCCATGTGTTGTAGAGTAGAATCATGCTCCATCGGGTTTCCATGGCTGCGACCTTTTGGAAGCAGGCTGCCAGGCTTTTCTTCCAAGGCACCTCTAGGCAAGTTCAAACAACCAACTTGTCAGTTAGTAGCAGAATGCCTAACCATTTATGCCCCCAGGGACACCTGGGCACTACAGTAATGTTAATTGCTGTGCTCCACTGAGACTGTGCCCCACTCTCTGTGTACTGCTAGTATTACCAAAATAAATGCCCCCAAGTATTTTCTGAAATCATCCAGTGGAGGTGAATAATAGAGCCACACCAACGGGACAGCCCACAGGTAGCCAGTTGTCACGGTCTCAAGGGAGGGCACTGCTGTGAGTGAGTGAGGCACTCAACAAGTGAAGCCTTTTCACCCAAGGCACCGGGGACAAAATGATTGTTAGATTGCCACAGAGGACCCAGGGCCTTTTCTCACCTGCTCCTCTGACGGATGATACATCACCTGGTGAAAACTCAAAGCAAAGATGTTTGCCTTGGCCTGGGTGTCGCAGAGTAAAATAAAGACTTTGTTTTAATTTTCAGGTGAAAGTGGGAGATACATTGGATCTTGTCATTAGAGAGGATAAAGAAGCAGAAACAGACACAGTTATGCGAATTCTCCTGAAAAAAGTGTTTGAAGAGAAAACCGAAAGTGAAAAATACAGAGTGGTTTTACGGCGGTGGAAAAAGCTAGCGTTGCCTAAGAAGAGTGTGCCTAAATAAACGGATTGCTTTCCAGAGACAGAGCTGCTTTCTAGTGGTGGGGAGAGGGCCCGTTTTAGGACAACACTTTGATTAAAATAAAGTTCTCTTACCATTTGTGGAATCTGCCGACCCATTTTGTGGAAACTGGGATCTATACCTTGGAGATAATGCCTGGTGACCTGGATTTCCCTACTGGGTTTGTCTGGCCTCAGCTGGACCACATCAGCATGAGAATTGTGCCCAAAGTGAGGTGTGGGCTGAATGAACTAAGCTCAGAGTTTTTCAATGACTTGCCTGCTGTTTCCTGTTAACTACCTCACAAGTCATTGTAAAATAAACTAGCCTTGTTTTTTTTTGTGTTTTTATTTCAGTGTTATCCCTGTCGACTCAGCTTCCTTGGGTCAGGGTTCTAAAAGCTATACCAGATCAAGGCCACCGTCACATCTTTGGGGAAGAAGAATTGAGAGAGCCCCTCGCCTCCCCAAATCATCAACATGTTGGCCTTGGTTCCCGTCAATTTGTCTTCAGCAGTCTGGATAAGTAAAGTTGTGTCAGCTACTTCCATCACAGCCTAATTAGGGCTCATTTTAAATTAATTATTTAGGCAGAGGTCAATAAACTAGGATAGCTAAAGCTTGTTTTTGTATGGCCCTCAAGAATGTTTTTTAATTTTTAAAGGGCTGTCAAAAAAATAATAATAATATATGACAGAAATGATATGTAGCCCCAAAAGCCCAATCAGTTTACTATCAGACTTGACAAAAAATGTTTGCTGACTCCTCATTTAGGGCAAAACAAGGAGGGTTTAATTTTCCTCTGAAAGTTGGACATAGGCCTATCTTATGAATGGAGAGAATAATTCTCATTGTAAAGAAAGTGCTATTAAAGGGGACCAAGTCTAAAACACAGGATAATATTAGCAGGGATACACACATACACATCATCTAAGAAAAGGGCATCTGTGTAAATAAGCTAGTTTGCAGATTCCCAGGGGCTGTTTCTTAGCACTGGGAAGGGTCAGCTCAGGAGACCAGTTAAACGGAGGTGGGTCAAAAAAGACTAGCTGTGATTCTGGGAAAATGGTGGCGTAAACAAAGCATCATTTGGATCCTCTCCCACAAATGCAAGAAACATAAGGAAATAATTGCTCAGCTTTGAGGGATTCTGATTGGAGAGCAGAGAAAAGCAGCAGGGACCTGCAAACAAGAATCAACAATGGGTCCCATAAGGTAGGAAAGAGAATCTCTTCTCCCACTTCCCTGCCCCGTCCACCAGCCAGTGCAGGCCACCAATTGCTGTGAACTGGGAAGTGACCTCAGAAATAGAGCCCATTCCCCTAACCATCACACCCCTTGCCTGTACAAAGAGATGGGACCCCAAGCTTCTGCTCTAAAATTAACAAGGCTGACCTTCCCAGGGGTTTGTTGGAGTGTGCCCGTACCTCTCCCCTTGACGCTCTGCTATATGCCTGTCGTGAATTGCTGCAGAAGGCCTCCTGGAGTGGTGTCTGTTCTCTCTACCTGCCTCCCTGCACGCCCCGTGGCTAAGGCCTTTGAAAGCAACAGGACAGACTTCCTGGGGATTCAGTTTGGGTCTGCTGCTCCCCCTTCCAGTTGGTTGGCTCTGAGGGCAGCTAAGGCTGCTGTGTATTAGGAAACAGGCATCTTGAGTAGAGGATACTCTCACAACCAACATACTCCAGAAGGGGCTCTGATAGCAACAAGACCTCGCTGGGAATCCATTTGGAGTGTGCCAGCACCTCCCCAACCTGGACACTGTCGGCTGCAAACCTGCTGTGACTTGCTACAGAAGGCCTATTCCCATAGTAAACACTCCTGGCTTCCCTGTGCACCCAATAGCTCAGGTCTCCGAAACCAACAGAACAAACCTCCCAGAGAGTCAGCTCAAGTCTGTTTGTTCTCCCTTCTATTTGGGGCTGAGGACTGCTGACTGAGCTGCTGTGTGCAAAGAAGCTGGCATCTGCAGTGGAGGCTACATCCACAGCCAACATACTTTTGGGGGTTGGGTGTGTGTGTGTGTGATAATAACAAGACAGATTTCTGGGGGTCCATTTGGAGTATGCCAGCACCACCTCCACCCAGACACTGTCACCTGCAAGCCTGCTGTGAATTGCTACAGAAAGGCCTTGCAGTGGAGGCTGATCCCAGAGTCAGTACTCCTCTACCTGCTTCCCAGAACACCCTATAGCTCTGGCCTCTGCAACCAAGAGGACAGACCTCTCTGGGGGTCAGTTGAGGTTAGTCTTTCCCCACGTCCAGTTGATGCTGGGGGCTACTAGCAGGCTGCTGTGTGTTAGGAATCAGGCATCTTGAGTGAAGACTACACCCATAGCCAATATATCATATGGCAGGCTCTGATGGTAACAAGGCAGAGCTCCCTGGGAATCTGTTTGGAGTGTAGTAACTATTGGCTGCTGAACTTACATGAGCCCCTACAGTAGCTTTCCTACAGTGGAGACTGCTCCCACAACCACCACGGGCCCACTGGGGCTCGCAAGCCAGTAAGACATCTTCTGGAGGTCTTTCTGGGAGTGCCAGCCCCTTCTCCTCCTGAAATGGAGGAAAGTCAGTCTGTGCTTCCCCTGAATGCCAGCTCAGATATAAGCAGTCCCCATAGAGCAGGGAAGGAAAACTCAGGCAAAATGAGGGGGTGACACTCAGCCCCAAAAGGGGCTCACTGGGTGTGGGTTTTCCTACTAAAAACCTGATTGCAGAAACAGGAGGGAAGGGAGTAATAACTGGGGTGGGGGTGGGGTGGACTGCACCCCCTGGTGGCCAGATTGATTAGTACATGCTCTCTCACCTGAGTGGTGGTACAGTTTACAGAATGACCACAAAGTGTTCACTAAGTGTGATTGGGAGATTGAAAATTGAAAAAGAAGATACGGAGTTTTTGAATCCCCATTAAACCAGGGAGGAAGAAAGAGCTGTCAAAGAGAGGGAGAGGAAACAGTAAGCAAAGGCCAAAGACTCTACTCAGCTAAGAGTCTCTTGCGGAAAGTAGTGTGGGTAACAACACAAATACTGGTAAAATCTGAGAAAGTTAAAACCCTCAGAAATCCCAATGTCCCAACAAAAAGATCACACAACACAAAGAACAGAGAAACAACGGCCCATCCAAGTAAACAAATGGAGTGAAAGCACATCTAGGGATGACCAAATAATTTAAAAAAAAAAAAAAAGAAGAAGAAAATAATACAACATTAAACATAATTAAAGAATGAAGAAAAACAGACAAAGAGCTCAAAGAAATAAGGAAAACTATGCAAGAACAAATTAAGGATCTACAACTGAAAGGGACTGGTAGTTAAGGTTGTGTGTCAATTTGGCTGGGTCATGTTTTTGAGTGCTTGGCAGCTGGATGCAGTTATTCCCAATGATGAGATTGCGTCAACTCCATGGTAGAATCTGCTGTAAGAAGCTCATAGTTGCCTTCTGGATGTGGTCTGCTTCCAGTATATGGGGAAGATTTGAGGAAGGTCTTTAGCTTTTTGGCACATCTGGATCCTGCATTGGCTACCATGTTGCCTTGTTTCTGGACTAAACCAGTGGGCAGTCATGTTGCCTGTTGATCTTGGGATTGTGCAATTCTACTTGCCAGCAACTGCATGAGTTATGAGAAGCCTCCAGCTCCAGTGGGCCTGGAATTAGAGACAGAGCTGAAGGCCAAGGCTGAGGAACTTTCACCCAGCCCCTAGAGCCAACACTCTGTATTTGGACTTTAGCCTCCTAAACTGTAAGAGAATAAATTCCTGTTTGTTAAAGCCATCCACTTGTGGTATTTCTGTTTTAGCAGCATAGAGAACCAACACAAGGACAATAACTGTAATGAGAAGCCATAGAACTTACCAAAAGATCTAATCAGGAAGAAGAAAGAATCAGTGAATTAGAGGATAAGATAGCTAAAATTACAGACACTGAAGAGTAACAAGAACAGAGGCTCAAGAAGGCGGAACACAGTTTAATGGAATTATGGAACAAGAGACATAATATATGCATCATAGGAATGCCAGAAGGAGATGAGAGAGAGAAAAAGGAACAGAAAGAGTATTTGAAGAAATGGCAGAAAATTCCTCAATTTATTGAAGAACACAAATGTACAAATCCAAGCAGCTCAAAGAACCCCAAGGAGAATAAACTCACAAAGAGATCTACACCAAGGCACATCATAGCTAGGCTCTCAAAAATTAAAGGTAAAGTGAGAATCCTGAAAGCAATGAGAGAGAAGCAAGTAGTCACATAACAAAGGAAACCACATAAGATTAAGTGGCAATTTTTACTCAGAAACATTGGAGGCCAGAAGGCAACAGAATGATAAGCTGTCCTTTAAGAATGAGGGTGAAATTAAACAGTTCTTAAGCAAATAGAAGCTAAGAGAGTTCATATCCACCAGATTCACCCGATAGAAAAAAATATATATACTAATGGGAGTTCTGTAGGTGGAAGGGAGAAGACACTAGAAAATAATTCAAAGTTATACACAAGAAGAAAGATCCCTAATAAAGGGAAATGCACAGACAAGTATAAGGGCTAGTAATAAAGTATTCATGCTAGATAATTCTAAATGTTTTGTTCATTTTTTAAAAAAACAAATATTTAAAAGGCAAAGATAAAATTATGTTAGAGAGCAAATGAAATATAAGCATTTAATTAGTGATAACAAAATAGGGAGAGGAGAGGAATGGTACAAGTATAGAATTTCTTGTGGCTCAGTGGCAGTGGGTTTACTGAAGTTAAGTTGTTACCAATTTACCCTAGAATGTTACAGCTACAAGCTCTTAAATGTAATATTCATGGTAACCACTCAGAAAATATATAAAAACATACACAAAAGGAAAGGGAACTAAAAACATTCACTACAATAAACCAACAAAACACAAAAGCAAGCAGTGGTACTAAAGGTCAAAGATCAAGAGGGGGTTTTAGACACAAAAAAGCAAATAATAAAATGTTAGAAGTAAATCATTTCTTATCAGTAATTAAAGTGTATGTAAATGGACTAAATGCTTCAATCAAAAGGCAGAGAGTGCCAAAATGGATTAAAAAAAAAAAAAAAAAACATGATCCAACTATATGTTGTTTACAAGAGACACACCTGAAA